AATGAACATGAGGATTTTCATAGAATATGATGTGTGAGTAAGTAAATAAGTAAGTATTTCAGATAGTAATACGATTGTCTTGGTGCTCAAATGTACAAGAATGATGACTTACTGCAATTATATACATATAAATATGGTTTTCAAATATGGCATTCAAAACTTTTAGGGGGCAGAAACCATTATTATTTTCCCTGAATCATTAAATTTAAGTGAATAAATTATTTCTCATTCAGAAGTATTTCTCATGATTATTTATTTACCAACTGAATGTTGAAACACAGCAGCATAAGTTTCATGACTATTATATATTAAGGGACCAAGAATTATGCATGAACTACTTGTGATGTTCTGAAAATGTAAGCATTACCTACATCATGGTGACATTCTGAAAACTGATGATTTTTTATGCAAGAAATGACAAGAAACAAATAAATATCTGTGCAATATTACAAGACCATAAAATATTTACTCTGTCTCAGGCTGAGATGGGACAAATACATTTACTTTGATGCATTAAGAATAAGACATTTTCGCATCACATGACGTGACTGATGCCATCCTTAATGTTAAGATTTCAAAGATAAGTAAATTTATAAAAAGAAACCAAGATAATGTTAATCATAAGAAAGTAATGTGAGTATTAATTTTTTATACAGGAAACATAAAGCATGACAGAATTTTTAAATTCATACTTTTAATTACAGTGTTAAAAATTGTGACTTTCAACATCACATTCACTTAAAATACCAATAACATATAGTAGAAAAGTAAAATAGTGATTGAGTGATCTTGCACCACAATTTAATGATAGTGTCTAAATAGGTGGGCAATGAAATGATTTCTAATAGCAGCTGCTCAGAAAAAATATTTGCCTTCTGATAAAGTGAACAGTTATTTGTTAAACTCAAAAACTTCACTATGAAGGTGAAACTATTCACTATTCAGGAGCACACAACACCAATCACTTTTTGAAATCAACATTACCAGTGGATGCTAAAACAAAGTAACTTAAAATGATTTGACAACAATACAGAGATTACACATCAAACAGTTTCAGCAACAACGCATTGTTCAAGACAAGGTTTTCATTTCATTTTCTAGATTTACATAAGAAGGAAATTTACATAAAATAAACTTTCTCATCATTAAATAGTTTCTTTTTTACAGTGTGGTAGGTTCAAGGTGTTACATTGTTCTTAAAATAAACACAAATTTCAGATACTTCAATTATGAAATTCAAATGTTACTAAACCACAAGGAATGAAAATAGAATTTTTCACACATTCAGTCACTTTTAGTAAATACAGTTCGAAGAATATTCAGTTAATGCTATAAGAAAATTGTTTATACACTTTTCCCATCACTTTTACAATATTTTCACCTGTCAAAAAAATTATTTTATATTTCAACACCTCATTCCAGTTTTAATATTTTGTTTTAATATTAAAATTATTATTTTTAATTTCATTCAACTTAAATTTATCACTAATTTTTAATTGATTTATGAATTGTTTAATATTGCTGCAGTTTATATAATTCAGTAAGTCTCCATTTTTAGTACTTAAATATGCAATATTGTTTACATCTAGCAATGACCAATATCCACTTTAAATGTGAATGGAAGTAATTGTACAATAAATATGGAATTTTTACTGTATCAAACCGAAAAGGTGTCTTGTGTTACATTTATTCCCTTTCATGAGATCATACTGTGGTTTACAAAATGTAGAATTGAGGAGTTCATCATATTACAGTCAAGTCTACTTAATATTCCAAGACAGTTGAATGGATGTAACCGTTATTAGAAAAAATGCAGCACTTGTGTATCAATTGCAGAGTTGTAGAGGATGTTCAGCCTTACTTGTATTCTTGGCATTTTAGTGAATTTGTTCTCTAGATTTTATTAAAACTTCTCCTCAAAAAACAATACTCTTAAATAGAAAAAGATTATTTGCAGGCATTTCTAAATATTTTTATTGACATAAAAAAATAATAATGACATATTTTCTTTTTTCACAATCCCTGTGTAACTGGTTAATTAAAGTATGCCCTTTTTTAATTCAAAAAGTTGAGGGGGAATGTGAATTTCAATTTTAAATTTTCAATATGTGTACCCAAAATTCATTTAAAAACATGATATTTAGGTTCCTTAGAAAACTATTACACATGTTATAAACTGAAAGAGAGATGTGTGAATAGGAACATCTTGTCTACAGCTGCTTGTGCACAAATTACAAGACAAACAAAATTAAAGCCAAGTTGTATCTAATAAAAAATAACACATTTTTACTAGTAAATAACAATTACAAAATGATTGTAATATTTAGCAGTATTTTTGAAAAGTTTAGATTGTGCATTTGTTTTCTAATAACATTAGAACAAAAAAAGCCATGCATACTCATTGCTATAAGCAATAGTGACTCTAAGCAAAAACATACATAGCATATAATAAAATAATTATAGTGAGGAAAAAGTATCACTCATAAAATCTGGAAGCAATTTATTTTCTTCCACAAACATTCCATAAAATATGTGGAATCTGTGTCTACAAAAATACATGTCAGAAAATTTACATGGCAAATAATATAAAGTACATGTAATTCACATTCTATGTTCCTCTAGATTGACAGGAAAATATAAAGGCATAGTGGACGGATAGTACATCAATACATTTTGACATATTCATTAATTACACATAAGAAAGCAATACATTTCCTTAAGCTTGGAGTTACAGTACATTCAGTTAGAAGACAATTATATCTATTCTATTTCTTATCATCCTTATTAATAAAAACAGGACTTATTTAAGACATCAAACACAATATGAGAAAGCAACTCATTAAAAACTTTCATACACCAAAAACTTATGAAATAAATAGGTGTGTATGTATGTACTTGGCGCAACAGCCCATGAATAGGCTCAGGCCTACCGGTTACATCCCTGCCTCGTAGCCATGGGTTAAGGGGGTATGTGTGCTTAGCACGTAGCATCTTCATGCCCTATTCCGGTCTTTTCAACCTGAGAAGTGAATTTTCTCATCATCACACAGCAGCACACACTGGGACATTGCAAGAAAAATGCATACTATAGTCTTGGCTCGACCGGGAATCAAACTTGGGGCCACGTAGGGAAAGCAAACACACTGACTAAGAGGTAGCCATGAGCGAAATTAACAGGTAACTCTTATAAAACGTTAGATACTGCAATGCTCGATTATTAACATGAAATTCATTGGTAATTTAAAACGTTTTTTTATATTGAAATGAAAAATACATAAAATAAATGAAAGAAAGAATTCATCATTAAAATTGATATTTTCTTTTAAATGTTAAATATTTATAATAAACATAAATTTAATAACATTTTCTTAATGCATGGCAAAAATTTAAAGGAAATAAATTTATTATAGAAGTAACTTTAACTTACACTTAAAAGAAGCTTTGAATAGTGCTGAAGACAAAATGTTTTATAAATTTAAACTTAAACTTTTAACTTAAGAATCTAATAAAATTTACAAATAGCATTAAACCTATACAATATTAAGTATATGCCCATACAAATGTTTAACTTGTTCTTAAAAACAGATAGAGATCTGCAGAAAATTACAACAACAAAAATATACATAACTAGATTATGCAAATATGTGCAAAAATACACAATACTTAGTCAACCAAAGATTTGGTAATAATATACGCACAGACAAATCTGTCAAACTATTTGTCACCGTCACTGAAAATTTTAAAATGTATCAATTCATCATACATTTTCCCTAAGTATTTAACATTCATTACAAAAATAAAAACGTTTATTACATAACACTATGGGGGCCCTTTCAAAATTTATAAGGGACCTTGCACCCCTGCCTCTATGTGCTCTGGACTTACATGTAGGGAGATTTTTCTCCAGAGGGGGACATTCAAAACTCCCAGAGGGGATAAACACATGAATTCTTGAGAGAAATGGAGTCCATACTCATATACATGAGAGACAGAATGAGTTCAGAATACACCTGAGAATGTATTGACCAATTTCCTTCATGTGGATTCCTTGATTTGAACCATTTAGAGTATGGAAAAATTAAAGGGGGTTTAAATTGTACTCCTGGAAAGGGCATTCCTGCCATCCTACTCCTGGCAGTTGCACCCTCCTCACTCAGCCAGAAAGTTCCAAAGCACCAACAAGCTCTACAAGTGGCATCTTTCATAGAACAAATAGAATTTCTCAGCACATCTCACACACTCAGCAAAAGCCCTGCTGCATCAGAATTACGCTACATATTTTGCGGAAGCTACTAATTTCTCTTGCCCCCACCAGGTACCAAATTCAAGCTCTTAAGCACAGACAAGAGAGCGCATCAGCTATGATGCCAATCTAGAGGCACAGAGATTGGTGCCAAGTTATTAAGTTTGAAATCAAATAAAATTATGTTTTAATTAAATAATGTAAAAGTAAATCACATAATACCTGATATGAATATGTGTAAGAATTTGTTTTTAAGAGAGAATACCACAAAATAGTATACACATTGCAAAAATACCAAATAAAATTTTCAATTTCTGCATTTCAGAATCCAAATACTACTGCCCATTCTGAGACCAATATTATTCAAGGATTAAGTTAAAAGCAAAATAATTTTCAACAGGACTCAATACAAAAGTAAATAAGTTCCAATTCGAAAACTTAATATGTGAATGTAACAATGAAGAATAAGTATAACCCCACAAAAATTATTGATTTGATGTCTTTTTAGTATTTATAAGAACATTAATTTTACATTTATATATTAAAATAATGTGCACTAATGAATATAAATCCATTTACTTATTTTGAAAATTGTTAAGAGACTTTTTATTTTCAAGTTGTTTTAAGTTTTGGGAATATTAGAAAAAGGCCTCTCCTAATGAATATGCTGGTTCAATTCCCTGTGTATTGACATAAATCACACTGATTTTCATTTATCCATGGAACATAGAGGAACATTCATATCTTTACATATGTATTACCAGTGCTGTATTTCTGGGGAAATGCTCAGGGATTCATACCCTTTAATAATCTGAATGGCGAGAAAAAAATAGTAATTTCAAAGGTAGAAAATTCAGATACCTATGACATTTTTGGCAAAAAAGAGCAAGTAATATTATGTTTTGTTTAGATGTGAGGTAATTCATCTGCAAGATATTTCTTTAATATTAATTCTAGACACAATTTATAATCTGAATTACTCATTTACATTAAGGTACCTTCATGATAAAATTAGGTTATGTTATCATTCTCACTCTTATGCTTACATTATGTTAGATGTTGGCAACAGGCACTCAGAGAGTATCATTTAACTTTATTCCAGAAAATCAACACTGTGTAGGTCTATTATGGTAGACTTTAATTTCTGTTTATAACAAACAAGCATTTGGGTACACTGATGTAATATTTTAATTCACCATCTCTACAAAAAAATCACTTGTCACCAAATCCTTGAAGATATAACCAATCATCATTTTTTTATTACCAAACTTGATTTAAACTGAACTTGAAATATGGACTCAAAAAATTTAATTACCAAGTGTACATTTTCAACAAATTTATCCCTAATGCTAAACTAATGCAGGAAAATAATTGAGAAAAGAAATGAGCAATCCTTAAGATTTTTCTAGCAGGGGTCTTTAGGTGTAGTATCCAACTGACATGTTTTCTCATCAACAAATTGTCCTTTATGCTTATTTTATATTTTCTTTTTATTTGATGATTTATAACTTATTCAATGGGTTTTTGAATAACTTTCATTACAATAGAAAATTAGTAAAAACTATATTTATGTTCATTTAAATGAACATGTATCATAAGCTTGTGGGTGTGCTGAAACCCCATGATCTCTCTCTTAGGACACCTCTGGGAACTATTATTATGAAGTATACTTAAAAAGGCTTAGATTAAAATAACTTTTTAATTAACATTTCATTTAGCGTGATACTCAAAAGACTAATGATGGTTATAATTTCCCTTTTCATGAAATTTCTAATGGCATTCATTAAATAAATCACTGAATTGAAATAATGTAAACTACCCCAATAGCAAAGAAACAACTTTGCTTATAGTTTACATTAAGATTCTACCTATATTCATAAGAGTTACTTTATAAGACTGAATGACTAGCAATGTATTTTGCACAATGAAATGTGAGTGAAATCAGCTGTCAACATTCAAAGCAGATAAATTTATGGACAGAAAATTTTAGCGACTGTTAGAGAACTAATAAAGAAAAGGTATCACTTTCTTTTATTCACAAGCTGCTAACAGATTAATTCAAAAACATTACTATTATGCATGATGCACTACGCATGCATACTATTATGGGAGTTGACTTATTTTATTTAATTTATTTACGTCAAACGTGTTTTATAACCAATTCAAAAATAACTGCTATAAACTATTTGTTGCATTTGAGAGCTGAATTCGGTGATGATATGAAGGACGAAACTTTTTTTATGAAATAAGAGTCCTCATGGATCTTACCTGGTCCCAGACCCCTTGCTTTAGCCATGTTGCTCTTAACTTTTCAAACAGAATTGTGAGCTGAAGGTCATTCATTTCACTGTAAATGCCAACTCACCCATCATGAAAATACCAAGAAAAAATATTTGTGGAAATTAATGAATTTTATACAGAAAAAAAGGCCTTTAGCTGTGACATCATAACTAGCTATTTTGCTCATATTCTTTTTAGAGATGATTAGAAACTAGTGCTGACTCAAAAACAATACGTTTGGTAACATCGTGATTTTCATAAAATTTTTGACAAAAGTTTAAAAATATCTTTGGAAATTTTGAAAACCCAATTTTCTTAGAGAAGTAATTGAAATAAATGTGTGCTTTGATTAAGCATTAACTCTGCATATCTAGTTTATAACAAAGATAGAATCATCATGTTATCTTACATAGAACAAGAGATATGATGTTTCAGCTTACCGAAAACAATTCAACTTTCAGGAAAATGGCCTTAAAACGTATTATACCCAAGAAAGCTTCAGACATACGTTCTTTTTTAGTCCATATATTCCCCTTTTGTTTCTTCTTCCTCAGGTACCTTCTTCTGTTTTTATATTTTGGTATTATATGTTTTGACTTGTTTCTTTTTATTTCTCAGTTGTTTTCTCACTACTTCCAGCTAGAAGAAAAGGGACATGACCGTAACGTAATGGTTCAAAAACCTCAAGATATAAACAAAACAAGCAATTGTACGGAAAAAAAGCATAGATCGGTTGTTAAGAGTCAGTTACAATAAAACATTAATTTTCAACGATTTTTCGTAAACTCCCGTTGGTGGGCGCGGGGCCCTTCAGGCCGCTCGCAGCGGGGCGATGACGGTCTCCCCCACCACGAGGCTGTGCACCAGCCCCTCCCGGCGCTTGCCGCTCGTCACCGCTTTGATGTAGGCCGGCGTGTCGCCCAGCGTGAAGTGTGTCTCCGTCCCGTCTTCCACGAATTCGCCCTGCGCACGCACAAGCGATTTCACTTCCATAAATTGTGACAAGTTATACAATAACTGTAAATTATGTTTTTTTTAAGTAATTAATATTGTAACGTTTTGTTATACGACAGAAAAAATTAATTTTTTCACCACATGTCGAAAAATTAAAAACAAAGCAATGTTACGTAACACTAAACTAACACCCCCTACCCCCAAGTAACGCAGCGCAACGCCGCAAACCCCTTCTCCCTTTTAGCGTTACGTAATTTATGGACGACCTCCAAACTTCTAAAATTCTCATCCGTCATTCTCAATTAACAAGGAAACATAGTTTGACCATTCTTCTGACGAACAAATTCTTGAATAAAAATATTGCAGTTAATATTCATTTATTACCTTTTCAACAATGCGGCGTTTCGAGGTTCAATTTGCCGCATTATCAGGCTAGAAACAACTCGTTTTTTTTAAGACTGTACATTCCGTAATTGGAGACTGCTAAACAAAAATGATTTAAATTGATTTCTTAGATTGAATTTGGTGTAAGTTACAATAACATGAGTTTCAGATCTTTTTTGTGTTGAGTACCCTCTTATATGCTTTTATACAACATGTACAATGTTAAAAAAAATGTTTTTAGCCTGATAATGGGGCAAATTGAGCCTGATAACGTCGCATTGTTGAAATGTCAATAAATGAATATTAATAATGTAACATTTGTATTCAAGAATATGTTCGTCGGATGAATGGTCAATATTTTTTCACTTGTTGATTTGACTTTGCCCTTGAACACGCGCGGAATGCATCCAAGGGCGAGTCTACAGGGCGGAACCTACCCAAACATTTACTGAAAAACAAAAACTAGTTTCATTACTTCACAATGGGCTTATTGATATTTTTTCAATTCACGCCTGGCCCTTTTGTTGGTTTTGCGTCTTGAACTTCCCTCTTATTTGCGAAGTCACTACCATGGAAGGCTCTGGCGTTCGGAGTTTTCAACCGTTGCGCAATACGTGTGCTCGCGATATGTTGAGTTTTTGCAGGCAGCTTCATTTCGCGAAGGCTGACCTTTCGGGTATCCCCGATTCATTCGTGGCCTGTGGCGGGCTCACCCTCGCACTACCCACTACACACTAGCTATCGGATGACGTCAACCCTCTTGTTGATCCGGAGAGGACAAGAAACACGCGGGCCGCTGGAAGTGCAATAAATGACCGGCGCGTCTAATATTCCAGTAGTCTTTTCCTCACACTCAAATTAATAATAAAACGCAAATCTGCACTGGAGCCCACCCAGAGAAACAACCACGCCAAATCTAAACTTGAGCCCGCAACCCACTGGACTGATTCCGCTACTGCACATTTGCCTTACAACTGGTCTTCTAATTGTTGCATTTCCAACTATACACTTCCAATTGTTACTACAAAGGTACTTTCAACTGTTACGGTTGCGTAGGCTTCCGCGGCCGGAGTTTCTGTTATCTAGGCTTCTGGCTTGTTTGGTTATCTAAGCTGGTACTGCAGTACGCTCTGAAGAAGGCCACAATACGCTGGCCGAAACGTTAGCCACCATGTCAGTGACGCGGCTCGTCCCGGATAGCCTAGATAACGCCTTCAACTGTTTCCCTTACCAAAACGTTTTATATCCGTAAATATGTTTCATTCCTAATTTACCTCTTTTTAATTGACAATTTGAGGAATTGTTATATTTTTGGTGGAAGAGGCTCTCCAAGCCATCTGACAACCCTGTAAAAGGTTCAACATAAAATCGATTACGTTCATTAATATATGTGGGTTCATTAATATATGTGGGTTAATTATATGTGGGTCGGAGGTATCGGCCACTACGTCACATTTACTAAATTTTACAGGAGAGCAGTTTGAAAATGTTTTACTTTGGACTTTGAAGCTAACTTCGTGTCATTAAAAAGCGTTGTATTTCCGACGATTCTTGATGTAGGACATAGCATCGTATACCTCTGAATATAGGACAAGAAACCCATGTGATTGTACCAATAATCTCATTTCGGCCAAAAATGGGTATTGTTTCTATATCTCCCACGCGCAGAATTGTATCATTAGTTAAAATGTAATTAATCTCCAGCAAGTTTCATGTATTAACTAGTAAAATATGCTACACTCGTAATTAAATAAAAATGTTAAGTAGAAAAGTGGGCACAGAAATGTAGTTGCTTTATCTCTTTTTTTAGCTGTACACTCCTGTAAAGGTTAGGAATAATTTCGGTTTGCCGAAAATCACTCTGGTTCCAATATGCAGTGACTTGTCTCCCCTGAGTATACGTCAATCGTATTTACACGATTTATGCGGGAAAAAATGGAAATGTATGACAAAGGATATGACGGATGGGTTACTAAAGTCTACATGAACTTTCGACAATTTCTGGTGTACTCAGAAATTGTAATAAGTAAGAGACAAAGTCTCAAAATATAGAGACAAATATCTCAAAATATAAACAAATATTTAAGATACAAATGCCATTGTTCTATAATATTCTATGGTTTTCGTACCTAATCCTTTTTTATATTTATTTTTTATGAGAGCCACTAACGCCTGTATTTGATTTTGAGGAAA